TATTAAGGAAAATATTCCTGTTGCAGAGGAAAAATTAATTTTCATTTTTTTTAGAGAAAAGAAAAACAAAACAGGAAATCTGCGTAAGGTCTCAAACTGATGATACTGATGGTGAGAATGACACAACTCTTTTTGAATTCTATACTTGCAACGGTTCTCTTTTGTTTTCTTTTGACTAAAATGAAATGTAACAAGAAATTTGCATCTCCAACTGAGCGACATGATTTTTTTAACTGTGCCATCCATAAGTGATCTCTTTTTTTCTCCATAAATCGTTAATTTATTCACCGCAGCAAGCGCTTTAAATAGAAAATGCATATTAAATTCTGTATGTGGTAAAGTGAAATACAGTAATTATGAAAAAAAAATGAGCTCATTAACATTCATTAAATCCTTAAAATCAGAAACTTCTAAGTTTAACTGATTCGTGAGTAATTGCCGTTGTTCGTGTTTATCAATTAAACTTTTTGCTTGAAAAATATGCGAATCAGGTAAATTCAAACTCTGAATAAATTGGATGCGTGCTTTTCAATTAACGATTTTTGAATGATGAATTTTCCTGGCGTATCAGATACTACGAGCCAGGAAGGTTCGCAAACTATAGTCTATCGTCATTATTATTTGGTAAAAACATGCTCAAATGTCGGATAGCCGTGATCTGAGATATGCATTTTCTGGCCAACAGTTTGTATTTTGGCAGAAATTGTATGCTCCGATTCGAGATTAGGGACTCATAACTATTTTTTTCGACGATGCTTTCAATTTTGAAGTCATTCAGTATGGAGATAACCAATAGTGCCGTGATTTGGAAGAATGCCGTATGAGTAGTCTTCGGACTTTGCAAAATTTTCTTTAACCGATCGCGAAATCTTTGGACAGTTTCTAGGTATCTTTCTTTCAATTTATGGAGTATTTTGTTCGTAATTTGATCTGAGGTGTCTAAAAATGTCAATAAATAATATTCCTGACGACCTCAAAAATAAATATTTTCTTAGAGTAAATTCGGCAACATTCGATGGTTCATACGACGCTTTTCCTCAGAGCAGCAGTGTACAGCAAGAGCCGGGAGAAATCCTAAAACCTCATGCATTGAACTGAACGTTGTCCTAAAAACTCTCTTCGAAAATAGTTTCCTCTCTCTGGATGACGCTCATTTAATAATCCGCATTGTGATTAAAACGATCCGAAAGCATGACGTCTATTCCCAATGACGTGAAAATTCTGTCCTCCGCCATGATAGAATCCACCATTGCATTACGCACTTTTGTCTCTTTCATTTGAATTGACATTTCAACTTCGACGTCACGGGTTCCCTGCGGACACTGCGAACACCTTATACGGACACTTTGTTTCAAATTAAAAAACAAACAGGTTGTGCAATTATGAAAGTAAAATCTCCCTATCATTCCATTGATCCTGACGAACATCTGGAGCGATTTTTTTATTTTTTGGCGAAATGCTATCGTGTTTGATTCGGATTGATCATATAATTTCACCAAAAAACCAAAAAATCTCGTCAATTGTTCTTTGGGATGTGAGCTGAAATATGAGGGAAATTTTAATTACATGACTAGTTAACCTGAAACCTACAATTAAAAGTGTCCGTAAGGGTGTCCACATAATTACTTTTTCACCCGATGCTAAAATTTTAGAGGGGAGTCAAATCTCCTTGATTGTGAAGTATCAAAAATTTGAAATCCTGCTCTTGCCATGGATCCACGGCCGATGAATTTTTTTTTTTTTTTTTTTTTTTTTTTTTTTTTTTTTTTTTTCAAAATATGTAAACTACACTTTTCTTTCTATGACGTGATCGTCCACGCCGAAAGAATCCTTATTTTCTAATGCAATTTTTTTTTAAAGTGTTTTTTATAAGTACGGTTTACGATATAAAGATCGATATCCGAGGTCTCGATAAAAAACGTAAAAAAAATCAAGCCCGATGAAAAAATTATTTCACCGTAAAACTTATTAAAATGTTGATTGCGTCAATCTGATTACAGGAGACTTCAGTTTTCTCGGCGAGTGGAACGTTTGAAGCGACCAGACAAAAACGCTGATTTCTTACGTATAGGTTAAAATTGGAAATTTTCCGTGTGTCCATGTATTTTTAATGAGAAAACATGCGTTACGATGCTTATATACTTGTAGTAAGCCGGGTAAGTACTGTACCTAAGCGATTCATTGGTTGTTTTGACAGGTAATTTTGCAAATCGAACCTTGAGCGCCGAAAAGCGAACCAAAGTGACATCTCTCTTTCAGGAAACAGCAATTTTTGAATTCTAAAATTCCGCATAACTGCTCTATAATTTTATATTTTCTAGTTCATTTAAATAGAAATAAAGGATGTACGCAAGAGGACTAGATTCTAGACTTGAGTCATAACAGTCATACAGTCCAACTTTCATGCTGCAAAGTATATTTGATATCACAGTATACTTTTCCGACGTTTACGGATAACAGTAATTTTATACGATGCCACCCACTCATAGCTCAATTTTGAGTTGATACGACCCACTCATAGCTCAATTTTGAGTTTTAAGGTATTCAAGATCTCTTTTCCTACACGATTACAATGCGATGGTTATCAGGGCCTGAATGTGTGTATAGTTTTTTGTTCAAAACTAAGTTTGATTGCGAGTTCACCAATTAAAAATATTTCCGACCTTCGATAAAGTGAAAAATTGACGTGTTGGCGTCTGAATACCAAATTACATTATTTATAAATGGAGACTATACGATACCACATACTAATTTGGGTGCGAAAATTTTACATTTTTACTAATTGTCTGCAATCACGACCGAATACCGACCTAAAATTTCAATTTGCTTCATTCCTACCTCCTATCAAAACAAAAAAAAAGAGGGTGCACAGTTTTGCCCCTCATTACCGCTTTTTCAGAATTGCAAGCGTCTTTTGAATATACTAACTATGTTTCTATTACAATTAAGTTAAAATTAACTTCACATGTCAGGACGAGACACCGGATTTTTATGATCATATCGGTAAGCTTTGTGTTACTTTGCACTGATTTGTGCGAAGCGATATAAGCTATGAAAATTATTGTATACACTGAAAACTTACGTTATCTGTCTTTCACAGACTAAATAATTTAACAAGATACATCGAAACACTAAAAAGGTTCACGATTATTTGATGCTGTATGTATTATTTTGTCAGGCGCACGAAGTAATTTTTTGAAGCGGTGAGAGCCAGCGGGACTGCAATGCATTGCAGCGTTGCAGTTGCACTTGATAATTAACTCGAAAATAGTTAAGAATTATTGATTTGGAATTTTTAGTGAATATTTCTGTGATTTTTTCAAAAAATTTCAAAGACTTACGCAGTAAAATTTACACCCGTTATAATAAACAGAAAACTAGGAGATCAGGTGAAACTTTGAAACGTTGCAACGCAATCGAGCCTCTCTGGAACCTTTACCTAAATCATATTTCCATGTCCATATACCGACGGTTGGTTTTTAGACTCACGGCACAATGAGTACCTAATTTGATTGAATGAGTCTTTTTCACTGTGTGTAAAGAAGTCACTCCAAAGGGCTCTTGAGATGGAAATTGAATGTTTTCAATGCAACGGGAAAACCAATTTGCGGTCTGAAAACTCAATTTCCGGGTCCGGTTCTCTCACATTCTCCTTTTCTTATAAATTCAAACTTATTAGAACTCCTTCTAAAGAATCAATTTTCTCGCCAAAAAATGCGACAACCGCTTTAGCCCGTAGTATCGTTCTCTCCACACTGAAGAAAGATTTTTGATATCCGGTGATCAAAATCGATCAAGCAGTCTAATTGGTCAAAGTGAAATTTCGGTTCTAAGGATCACACGTTCGATTCGCGATAAAGAAATCCTCGATGGAACCGAACTGAAAAAGAAAGTTACACCTTACTAATCGAAATTTCGCGTTGACAAATTGAATATCGACGGCCAAAGTGAGAAACCACATATCTCTATGGCGGGGTTTCAAAATATGCGCTCCTTTTTTACTTTTTCGAGGAGAGACAAGCCAAATTCATAGCTTGATACTTATACAGAATGGAGAATTCGCACAAAAAATTTCAATGTTTCATCCGAGAGTGCTTAGTGAGCTGAGTTCGCAGAATTAGTCATACTTTTTTTCTGAAATGGAAAATTGGAGAAAAATAGATTGAAAAGGGAGAAAATTTGCCGCCTTGTGACGTTATCTGCAGGCGACATTAAACACATGTATTTTAGCAATTTATGTTCTTTTGTCATATTTCCTATAATAATTGTTCAATTTGGAAACCAAGTTTATCGTCGTTCTCAGTTTTCCTAGCAGTTTAATTTTAAACATGAATTTTACAACATTTTAGACACCTACAAATTCTCCATTTTGTTGATAGGGAATAAAAATCAAAGAGATTTTCAGATAATCAGGTTGACTGGGTAGTTTTTCAAAGAAAGAATAAAGTATGGAAAAAAGTTTGCAACGTCGTAAACGGAAACCCGCGCTTTCGCACTTTGGCCGTCAAATTTTAATCTATACGGAACACCGTATACTTACTCGTGAACGACCGTACTTTTTTTCACGTTTAAGGCCCTTTTGCCTAATCATGGAAAAAAGAGAGGCTGAGTTAAGTTCCAACATGGGCATTTCCAGTTAAATTGTGGTAGGGCCCTAATTAATTGTGGTTGTACCCCAATAAATTAGGTTACCAAAGGAAAAAAATAGGATAGTCGTCACAACCAGCGGCTGGTTAAATATGCGCCAGCTTTCGTGCGATAGTTACGATAACTACTGCGATAGGGGACACAACTAACCCGGTAGTTACCACAAAGTTATCACTCAAAAGTTGCGGTACTACCCCAACTTATATTGTGGTATTACCAAATTTAAGTAGAAATGTCCATATCATATAAAAAATTAGGGTAGTTTTACAATTTTAGGGGATGACCATGAACACTTTTTACCCCGTGTCGCAATGGCATATTTTTTTGGTTACACTGATTCGATTCGGACTCACCTTTTCCCGTTCCTTCTTCTTCGCTTGGTCGCGTAAACGGTGCCAAGCTGGCTCATGGCCAAATTCGAAACTGGGGGCTGCATGATCTCAGCTCCAGCGTAGGGGGGCCCAGCCCCGGGGCCGCATTGGCCCACTGAAATGTACTCCGTTTTGGAGACCACTCTCACACTGAACGCACTTTAACTTCACTTTCCACACTCGTTCGGCTCAGAAAGAACTACCGAGATACTTCATCCAGTGATCGATCCGGGATTTTCTTCATTCACCACTTTATTGAGAACTAAATTAGTATTGCGGAATGCCCGAAAGGTTGAACGCACTAGATACATGATTGCACATTTTTCCAGGTGATAAGCTAAAGATGAAGACGATTTCGAGTCAATAATTTGAGGTTAAAAACAGGGGGAATAAAATATGACGCGTCACAGATTCCGTCGTGGCTTCTCGAAAGAGCGAGCGAGAACAAGAATTCTGAACGCCGAGGGTGCTCGTCACCTTCAGCTCATCGCAAATTTCCATGTTGATTATTCTGCCTCCCGTGTTTTCCCCCCAAAAAACTCCGTCTGCCTCTTTTCTATCTCGAATTATTATCCATTTCTAAAGGTTATTAAACCATCGGGTTTTTTGCGATCGATGTCTTGGGGCGAAGAAAAAAGAGGTCGGCGCGATTCGAAACTCTCACGAGACGTGGCGGTGTTTTTTTCCTCCTCAACGGCGATGAGAATGCTCCATTAAAGGGCACATAAGCGCTCCAATAGGGATCCGAATTGTTGCGTGACACTCAATTTAAAGTTCATGAAATACAGGTGAAAAAACCGAAACGGAGAAAAACGCACACATCAAGAACGGAGAGAAAAAACAACGAGAGTAGAAAGCCGATTTTCGTCAGAGTTGATGAGCACTTTTAATCACTGGAAGCCGAGACAACGAACGGTCCGCGCATGTAACGTATTCTGACGCGAAGATTTCACAGCCATTACGCAAAAAAAAAAAAAAAAAAAAAAATATTGCAAAAAAATATATATGAAATAAAAAACAATCGCGAAAGAGCGTGTGCACGTATTGATTCGGCGACACTGAGACTAAGCGGTCATAAAAGTCGGGGCAATTACGGTGCGCGGAGGGTGGGAGGGGGTGTTGTAGAACGGTCGAAAAGTTATGGAAACAACCCCGTCGGAGGGGGCGGCGTTCGGGGGTTAGGTTTTTCGGGAGCGGCGCGTTGAAGCAGCCCGCGCTCAGAACGAAACACAACTGATCATCCATTCCTAGCTTGGCTCCACCATTCGCCCCACCTAGCCGCGGCGCCCCGCCCACCCTCGAAGCGGCGACCAATGAGAGGGCGCCGCTCCCGCCCAGAGCTCGGTCGCATCCGCGCTCGGCCAATCTCGGATTCGCCAAGTGTGTTGCACAGTGCGGCCGTGTATGGAGAAAGGTCGTATGAGCGTCCTGTTGCCGTCAAGTTTTCCCCGGTAAAATATTTATTTTTGGGGCAAGTTATGAATATTTTCTGTCGAACTTTTCGGAAACTTAACAGTAAATTGTAAGTAAAGTAGTCTGAAAAGTTTAAAGAGAATTATTCACAAGCTCCTCGAAAAATTTCGTATTTTATCGATAGAAATTCGGCAACACCTATAGGCTCATACGGCGTTTTTCTCGGTCTATTGCATAGAACAGCCGTGCTAAGGAGGAAGCCCGTATTAGCCCAGCGAATTTATTTTGATAAGATACAATTTTTCTGGACAAACTATTAAATAGGTATTTGTCTGATTCAAATTTTGCGAAGAATTTTATTCGCAATTTAATTTGAATATTTTAAGGCAAAACACTCGTGCATGTTTTAAAAAAATGAGTATTTTACGAGTATTGAAAGAAAGTTAGGAACATTTGAATACTCATATACAACGTTCTTCTGCGTCGTGGCGGAGTTGGGCTCTTGCGGAATCTACCGCATGACACCGATCGTAAAAGCCAGTGGGTGACGTCATAAATCCATTACATCGAATTGGATCCAAACAATAACAATGACATGATCTTTTTCGATGCAACCAATGAGAATAAATCCATCCATCGCTTTTAAGTGGCGTGAAATTGATAGCGCATCTAACGCTGCCTTGCCATTAAAACAAGGTGCCGTATGAATATTCAGGTGCGTTGCGAACTTTCTTCTGATGAAATTCGAATTTTCTGGAAAATTTAGTAAACATTTTCTTTCAATTTTTCTGTGAATTTCCGCAATCCAAGCTCCTATATCTAAAAATTTTAAGGAAGAATACTCCTAACTTTCCTCAGTGATATGCATTTTATCGAGGAAAATTTGGCTACATTGGAGCACTCATACACTGTTTTCCCTCAGTATGGCAATCCAGTGGATGGCGGTGTCGTCGTGTTGACCTCATTATATCTTCACGCATGGTTTTCCGGCGGGGGGCCTCAAGGTTCATTGTATTCAATAAACGAAAAAACCCAGTCAAAATCAATGTGGTAAATTCAACACAAGATCTATTTAGTTCCATAAAAACTACCCCGTCGGAAAATCTTGGATTAAAGTAAAGCGTATATGTATCCATGCAGAAATTCTCCCTTCAGTTAATAAAAATAAAACTTTTGTGTTTACTTACTTTTGGTCATGATTTGGAGGTTCAAAAATATTTCAGGTTCAATAAGCGACTAAAACGTGCTTCTAATTATTTTTTTTTTTTTTTTTTTTTTTTTTTTTTTTTTTTTACATGTCTCACTCTATTTATACCAGGGCCCGGTAATATTGGTGAGTGAAGCAACCCCACAATGCGCCATCGCGACAATAAGGGCTCTAAAATGAAAGGCAGAGGGAAAAAAGCGAGGGAAATGAGAAAAATAAATCTAACGGAGAGTAGCGATAAATAATAAATGTTGAAGCTAATAGAAGCATGAATAGCTAACTAATAGAAAATACAGTCATCTCATCCCACTGCAAGCCTTGGCGAAACGATTGAACTATGTATGGTTCCATTGGCAGGTATCATACTTTTGAAATTCGCCTTCAATGTCAGCGTATAGGCAACAAATTACCTAAGGGACCGTCTCTAAATTACGTAACGCTCTATGGGGGAGGAGGTCAAGGAAAGCGTTACGGCATTTTGTTATTACAAGTTAATAGATAGGGACCAAAATTACACAAACGTTATAAAGGGGGGAGGCGGAAGTGTCCAAAATGTCGAAAAAATGCATTACGTAATTGAAGGAAGGCCCTGAGAGCTTGAATAGGAATTTTGCTGAATCCAATAGATATACGTCAACCTATTGCTACATTGGTACACAGACTTTATGTCCACTTTTTTTACGTCCACAGACTTTTCGTCCACAATTTTTACGTCCACAGTTCTAAAGCCCACACTATTGTTAAGTCCATTACTTAAACGCCCACTATGTTAAGTCCACTAAAATCAAATTCAAGCGACATATTTTAGTCAATGCGTAAAATTGTATTGACAATATCGAAATGAGAAAATTAAGAGAGAATGAGGTGTTGTTATCGTAACTCATATTTTGAATGAAATGTTACTTTCTTCTTTTGATTCATCTTTTCAAATTGTCTTTGGTAAATACTTGGTTTCATTTCTATCCTTGAAATTTCCGATACAAAATATGCCTTAAATGTACGTTCTTTTTTTTTTAAATGAAATTGATTACTTCATTTTAAAAACATTTACATTTTTAAAACGTGGTAAATATTTGTAAAACCTTTTCCGACCAATGGCATCGATATGAATCTCAATGAGCCGTAGTTGTGATGAAAGAAACTATACAAAAATTAATAAAAGAGGAAAAAAACTAAGAAGCACGCAATTTTTTGTTTTTAACTAATTTGTACATCGACCTCCTTGAGTCAAATTAATACGTCAAATTTTGAGCGTTTGGTTGCGCTTACACCACGCTGCAGCACAGTAAAAGCCCAAAACATAAAAGAATAAATTTGAATGCTTTGGAAATCATTAAATTTGAAACGGAACCACTATTATATTTACAGAAAACACATTATATTTTCCAGTAGTACATAGTTCTATTTCATCAGTTTAAAAGGGAATAATCAATGCAGAGAGTGCAAACATTTCAAAATCATGAGTTGAAAAACGCTGACTCCGCGAGTTTAAATATTAGAGCCTAACACAGAGCGGGGCGGCGTGTTAGCAGCGCAGAACGCGCACTGGCGCCTACAAACCTAACAGGATACTTCACGCATTGCGCAACGCGTGAAGTATCCCGTTAGGTTTGTAGGCGCCTATGCGCGTGTCACGCTGGTTGCCGTTGCCTGCCGCGCCGCAACGCTTTAAGCAACTATTTCGCGTCAGAGGCGTTGGATAGTATCCTACAAGATTGAAGGCGCACGAAATAACTAGTTAAAAAGGACTTTCAATTTTGACTTAGTTCGAATAGAGTCTGCTGCGCCACTCATCTTATAGGAAGAGTTCGCGCGCCACAAATATGCTGTTTCTGCCTCTAAAGTTGAAGATACGCCAAAACGGACGAAATTTTAGCCCACAGAGCCACAACTCGTCAATTCCGAGCATGAGTGCTTTTTTAAATTTTTCAAAAATCACATTTTTAACTTACGCCCCTTAGGTCCAATTTACTTGCAGAAGATCGAATTTTTCGGCAAAATTCAACATAATCATTTCGATTCGTATTCAGAAGGAGCATCGATTGTCCTATGTCCGAACTCGATCGGACAACATTTCCCCAAAACGCTCCACCCTACCTTACGTGCGTAAACTTATTGACAGATATCATCCTCTTATGGATCGCTTTATAGCCTATTCTCCGCATAGACAACAAACATACAAAGAGAGCGCGAATAGTTACCTAAAAATCAATAGATACAAATTTATATCGCTCCAAGCGCTTGGATTGAACTGATAAACGATCTCGTTAAGCCACTGCCGGGTATCGTCCATCTGAAGTTCGCCTTCAATTCATATGCATTGGCAATAAACATACCAGAGAGCGCGAATAGTTGTCGCTTGGATTGAACTGATAAACGATCTCGTTAAGCCACTGCCGGGTATCGTCCATCTGAAGTTCGCCTTCAATTCATATGCATTGGCAATAAACATACCAGAGAGCGCGAATAGTTGTCGATTCGATAGATACAGGATTGCTCCAGGAAGCTCCATGAGCTTTGATTCGACAGATAAATGAATTTGTGAACTTTTAGGTAGGTGTCGTGCTCAATGTCGCCCTTATTTACCTTTTCTCTGGAATCATGCGTCTTTCTTGAGATTCCACTCGGAGTTCGCAAATAAGGTTTTATCACTTAAACTACAGGAAAATTGCAATCTCAAAAGCAACAGCTTGCGTAAATTGCGAAGTTTCAAGGTTAAGTCGGCAGTATTTACTCACTTTTTACTTGAGGTCTTGGAAACATTAATTCCAATAAACTATTTGGTTCAATATAGTTGGTAGCAAGCACTATGAATATAATTTTAGAGACATGCGGAAAATGCAATTATTCCCAAGTTGATCCAATCCGGCCTTATGGAAATGTGAAAAGAAAACGAGCAAACGCAGTGAACGAAATGACAAAACCTAGTCTTATAGGGTGACCTGACACCAAAAAAAAGTACACAAAGTAACAGAAAGTCACAACACTGGAAAAAAAAACACATTGGATCTAGATTCCAGACTCTTGAAAACATTGACAAGAAAAAATGCTCTTGATTCAATTGAATTTTTGCTTGAATCAAAACAAAAATCCGCTTAAATTGAGAGGGTTGGTCCTTGATTTAAGCTAGATTCTTATTGAATGAAGAGTACTTTTTCTTGTCGAAGTTTTTAAGAGTCTGGACTCTAGATCCAATGTGTTTTTTTTTCCAGTGAAAGTGTCATCAAACACAGATATTTATAACTTTGTATATTCCAACAGAATTTTTTGGCAGGAACGCTTTTTTTTAAAAATCGAAGTAGAAAAAACACCGGAAAAAATACATTGGATCTAGAGTCCAGACTCTTGAAAACATCGACAAGAAAAAAAAACTCCTGATTCAATCAGAATCTAGCTTGAATCAAGAACCGAGCCTCTTAATTTAAGCGGATTCCGTTTTAATTCAAGCAAAAATCCGATTGAATCAAGAGTATTTTTTCTTGTCAATGTTTTCAAGAGTCTGGACTCTAGATCCAATGTGGTTTTTTTTTTCCTAGTGAAGAAAAACCTTCAAAAATCGAACTGTTCCGAATAACGAAATTATATCACCCTGAAG